ATCATTGTTCCTGAACTATGCTCTCGAACCCTGGATTATTTTACATAGTATTGTATATAGATGTTTTCTTGGGACCTGGGTGAATAAAAGCAATCACATGTTTTTGCTTCATTAAGTTCAGTTAATTCTTTTCATAGAGTCAGATTTCATTTAGTTATCTTTAAAATAGCCTGGGGGTAATCAGTCAAACCCAAGCACGCCACAAGGTCACAGTATCTTTCACGCTCTGAATGGTTTGCCACGACCCAGTGTAAACTCGGACATTGACCGAGTTTGACTGGAAGACAAAAGCAAAACTGAACAACACTACAAAGCCCGACCTGCACATGACACGCCTAAAAGACGCGAAAACCCAGCTTTCGAAACATAGGGCATATAACTTGGGATTTTCGGAATATAGGCACGTTATCGATTGAACAGAATTCCTCCGCTAATTTCAAATAGTCAAGAAAAACTCTGCAATTACATTATTTGTGCCCACGATGTTTTCGTTTCGACCCTGCAAATGGGGTCAACCATTAAATGTACTAAAAACAAAGAAATGAGAACGAAAAAGCGCCCAGCAATCAAGAAATATGCACCATAGTGTACAAAAACTACTTAGAAAACACCTTGAGCAGGTAATAGTACTCACTCGAGTCACAGAGATGTAAAATCAATGATTTTCAGGGAGCACAGACCATACTTGTGTATGGTTATTAACATACATACATACACACGTCATACGATGTACGTCGTTCAATTACAATGATCAACGAGGAAGTACCATGCAGGCTTGCACTACATCCATACACAGTTTATTGACAAGGTCGGTAATCTCAATATATTCGCTATCAATTTAAATAGCAGAAGCTCAGACTTTTTTTTATCTCCACTTGTAGCAAGAATAAACATGGTCAAGTCAATGTCGATTCAGCTAACCCACCTCTACTTTGAACCTAGAAAGTACAAACAAATTCAACAACACAAGAGTATACTAGTAAATGCCAGACAACGTTACCAAAAAAAAAGACATGCAGGAACCAATTGCAATATATTAAAGAACAACTGGCAAACATTATTAACTACATGAGTAAATAACTTTTAGTTTAATTTGTGTATTCACTGTTTATTCTTTTCTTTTTATTCTCTTCTTTTCTTTTCTCATTATTGTTGCTTGTAAAGCCGTGAACAGAAAATTAGAGGCAATTCTTTTTAGATAATATCAATGGATATGATTTTATTAACCTATTAGAAACCAAAACAAATACTAATTCATGTATAGATTATAATCACTTTAATTAATTTTGCTCAACAACACACAAAAAAAAGAGTACGATCAAATTTTCGACATTAAAAGCATTCACACGAAAAGTATCAAACAGCTAGGATGATTTCATTTTGATTCATTTAGCGACTAACAACTTGGAACTAAGATGAGTGTCACCAGTCTGGGATACACCTAAAAGTATATGAATGTATTCTCTTTGGCTATATGAGCAATCATAGAGGTATGTTTTATTGACTAAATAATTCACATATTTGAATACCAAGTTGATATCAATAGTTGATAGCAATATATCCATGCTAACCGAGTCCAGACTCACATTTTAGTGAATTGTTCGTCTCGTGGACCTGATGACTTTAGTAATTATAGAAGTACCAATTAGCCATTCTTCAACAATCAGTAGTCAAGAAAAATATACTGACAAAATCGATGGAATCGGAACATCATAAACTCCCATAAGGGAGTCAGACCAGGTGCACGTGAATGGTAAGCATCTGCTGCGGGCATGTCGAACCCGCCCTGATGTTCCAGTCATGTAAGCGAAAAATGTCAAAACAAGTTTACTAGACAAACAACCACACCAAACCACAAGGACAAACAGTTGTCTTGTATGATATTGGATAGTGGGTCTGTTTTAATGATACATGTATAACATTGCTCACTTTAAATTGACAAATATATACCAAATTGTGTACAAACAATTTGCGCAATGAGCAGTTCATAACTATATGCCGGGCTATGTTTTTCATAGTTGTGTTTGGACCCTATACATAGGGTATTATATACTGTACATTTAGAAACTGCTAAATTAATTTGCCAGATAGAAAAAATTGAAAGTTTAGGTGACTTTTATTTTGAAATGTACAATATAAAGTATACAATGGGCAATTAAAGCTATCATTACTGGTTACGAATATTTATAATAGTTGTGTGTGGCACACACACACTAACATATCAAAGTAACACACACGTTTTAATATTACGATCTGAACAGTAACTACCAGTATATGATAATCGGAAATCTGTAATCAGCGAAACAAGGGTTTTACACGTACACGTACAAACTGTCGGACAAAACTTGACCTGTATATTCACCTTTCCGTAGTGTATGTAAGGACATGAAACACTTGCCGAAATTAACAATATTTTATTCAATAAAGCATTCGTTTCACCAATTACATACAATTGGAAATCTTTAACATTATGTGTTATTATGTAAACTGTTGGCTTTAGTAGTCCAGTGTACAACTGAATGGAACAGTTGTCAAAAATAAAGGTGATGACATCGGAAGGAAGGTCCAGAAAGGAGGGCAACCCCATCTTTTGACCTTGGTTGAACCAGGGAGCCCGCCATACTGATGGTCATATGCCAATTAATACGCCTTTTGGTATGCCTCAGAGCGTTGCACGTTGTGTGGCTGGTCGCAATATTACTGTTAATTTAAAAATCATCCCCTGTATTTTTTGACAATTGTTCCATGCCGTTGTATACACTACTGAAATGGGAATGTACTGGTCAAGTTTCTTCCAACAGTTGTAAATAATATACGATCCTTTATGTCGCTGATTACAGATTTCTGATTATCCGTAATTAGCGAAACGAAACTTTTACTAAATAAAGTCCCAATATTTTCGGCAAATGTTTCATCTAGTTACGACACGACTGAAAGATGAATTTACTGGTCAAGTTTTGACCGACCCTTGTTTTTTTGATTACCAGCGAAATGAACAATTTGCTGTTAAATATTGTTATTTTCTGCAAATGTTTTATGTCATACTAGTATCAGAGGTACATTACTTGGGGTTTGCAACTACGGTGACATGATACCAAGATCCCGTTTCAATCTCGCTCTCACATAAGTGTTCCAACTCAGAAAAATTCGAATGCGCATGCCCGAGGTAACTAGGATACTGGGATGTCTAGGTGGATCAAAATAGCTGCTCACGTTATGACGGATTACGATAACTATATTTTCTGTACATTTTCGATGTATTACATTTTTTCACTATGAATGTGGTAATACATGTTTTATTGTTTTATTACAAACCGCCTATGTCATGTCAGAAGGTCGTAGCACCAGTCTCGCTACCTACGAGATGAGACTTGAATGGGACATGATGTCACCATACAGTACTATGCGCGTTGCAAACCCCAAGTAATGTACCTCTGCTAGTATACATTACTGAAAAGTTTCGACCGACAGTTGTAAATATTGTACGTGTAAGACCCTCGTTTCGCTGAATACGTATTTTTAATTACCTGTAATTAGCGAAACGAACCATTTACGTAGTAGATATTGTTATTTTCGACAAATATTTTGTAAATATTGTACATATAAAACCCATTTCCACGGATTAATTTTCATTATGTGTGTTATCCCCGTTTCGTATCGTTTCTTCGATTACAGTAAGCCAAAATGTGCCAATGACTCGTTAAATCTCGAAGGGCCTTTTAAAACTGTGTGTCCACTTTTTGGTATGCATTGCTAATTACGGTTTTCAGTTGTCGTTTACAATAACAAATAAACCGACCCAAGGTTTATAAAAACGATTAAACAGTATAGCCATGTTATTGTTCTTTACCAGACTATGGAATTTTAACAGGGTTGATTCAGATATTGTGTGTATTATTTCACAAGTGCGTCACCAAATTTGAATTTTGCGAAACCTTCATTTACCGTTACCGTTACCTGTAATTAGCGAAACGAACCATTTACGTATTAAATATTGTTATTTTCGACAAATATTTTGTAAATATTGTACATATAAAACCCATTTCCACTGATGAAGTTTCATTATGTGTGTTATCCCCGTTTCGTATCGTTTCTTCGATTACAGTAAGCCAAAATGTGCCAATGACTCGTTAAATCTCGAAGGGCCTTTTAAAACTGTGTGTCCACTTTTTGGTATGCATTGCTAATTACGGCGACAAAGCTGCCTTTTGCTGATCACAGTCTTTTGAGGAACTGTGTGCTGAATGAGTTCAATTTTCTCGTTCAGGATTCTTTATTGATATTTCTGGATAGGTGCCAGTCACCCAATGTACATATGCTGTACATCTCGTGAGAACCTGTCTCATTATCAACCTCAGCACAGTTTCTGCCAAGTCACCAAATGTGGAATTGCTATTTACTTTCAGCTGCTGAATAAGTGTCATGGTATGAACAAATGGATCATCAGTTATATTCATAAAACGTGGTTTGCACCAAATATTGGTGAATATCTTACAGTTTGATACGAAACAATACTTTTATCATCATGGAATGTTAGTTCCTGAACTTTTTCGTTCACAAAAACATATATTTAGTCACTTTCACAAATATTCTATCACAAATGGAACCAGCTATATTAGGTTGTACAGGCTTGGTCGCCATCTTGGGATTGAAGGTCACCGTAATAACCGGGTACAATGGGAGTGCCTATTATGTGGGATCAGACCTTCGCTTATATGCAGTCGTCAGTGTTAGCATGGAGGTACCTCCATGGTGTTAGTAATAAACAACTATTAACCGGACTCTATCTGCGATATATAATGAAACACTCTCAAAATGAATGATGATTAGTGATGAATATACCGTGTCCGAATAACTGAGAGCCATGGTTTCCGGGGGCGTATACTCGATTCATTGCATTATTTTCTGCTGTTTTAATGTTGTTGTTTTCAAATAGCTTAATCAGCAGTAATTTAAACGAGGTCAATCACACCGGCTGACGCACACCATTTGTATACGGTATTCAGTTTCGCTGTGATTCCCGTCACATGACTATAATATGTATTCTTCGTTGAATGTCTATCTCGTACCACAACGAAGAAATAAATGATTCACTAACACAATATTTGTTTTGACAAGAAATCTCTCTCCGATCTCGATGAGTGTTGTTCTCCGCGTGTTTTCGAGGTTAAAGTCTCTCGGAAGGACCCGCCAGTGGTGTGCGTTTGGGGAAAATGCTAGCGTCATCGGTACTACGCGCTATATCAGCACAGACCGCAGTGACAGTGGGACGCATAAGTTGGGTTACGACAAGCCCACGTCTACCGAAGAGAATCATTCAGTGGAGCCCTTAGTAAGTACTGCAACGGTCACGGCAACAGGTAGTGTCAGTAGGTATGTTTTCGACGCCAATCCGCCGACTGACTCCCGTGTACGAAGGCATTCGTTGATGAATTTGACTAACATTGGGGAACTGTTATACCAGGATGATCTACCAGAAAAAAAGTATGTGTAAAGTTTATTTCAGACACGATTTGAGTTATCGGGTGTATTTTTCATGGTATATTATGACCTTGGCTCAGCTCTTCTGCTATTAAATCCAGTCACGTGACATCCGTCATTAACACAAGGCAGCGTAACTGCTGCCTTTGCTAGTGAAACAATGTCAAACTATATGTCGTAAATAAGGTATATGCACTGGGCCGTGATCACATAACGAGCTCAACAATATATGGTCAACGGAATAACAGAAATCTGATTTATGCTTAGCGTACAAAATGTGAAGTGGTCCACATTTTGATCCCGGAACACCTTCCCCAAAGAAAACCTCAACTCCCTGTTTCGTTGGACACCTCGACCAGCTCAATTCTCAGGGGGCAACAGGGAAAATAAATGACATGTCTTTAGACAAAATTAAATACCAATATGTCACAGCCTTTTAACCTTGTAACATCTGGTGTAGTATCCGACGACAGCCTATGCAGAATAAGATAAGTAACATTTGTACTATAGGTATTGATTTTCAACTTGAGTCAATGGCCCTTAGTACTTTTCTGTTCCGCGAAGCATGTGACGAGCCTCACTGTGGCGACGCCAAAGAGTAATATAAACGGTTTTCAGTTGTCGTTTACAATAACAAATAAGCCGACCCAAGGTTTATAAAAACGATTAAACAGTATAGCCATGTTATTGTTCTTTACCAGACTATGGAATTTTAACAGGGTTGATTCAGATATGATGTGTATTATTTCACAAGTGCGTCACCAAATTTGAATTTTGCGTTACGGTTTATAGTGAAGCAAAAACTCATCCCGACTGGCATTTTTTTGCAAGTATGAATTGATTTTAATTAATTTTGATTGTTCCATTTTTTTCTGTCTTTTTTCAAATACATTTAGTATTACGTTATATAGTCAATTGTTCACCTTTTTAAAGTTTCTCGACCGATATTCTGCCATGTTCCATCCATTGTTAACTATTTGTTGATGTGTTTTGTTGTTTCTGTTGTTCTCTGAATTCCATCACAGCTTAGTGTTTTTCTGAAAAATTTCGAAATGTTTTGTTTCGTCTTATGATGTTGGGTGAACGGTCGATATCGTCTATAAAATGTTAAAAACGACGGCTTCTTGACAATGTTCCTTTATACAGTAAGTAATCAGTTCAAACTTTGTTTACGTCCTACTGATAAGCAGGTATTTGACACAACTAACATCCACCACAGTGTCTGGAATCAGAGATAATGTTTACGTAATTCTGATAAGACCCGCTGACTCAACTTTGAAATCAATACGCGCACAAGGTCATACGATATAGGTCAAATCAGTGCAATTGTCACGTTTTGCCAATTAAGGGTATGAAAACACAACACGAGACGAGATACACGGCTCACACGTCATGATAACCCACAGTAAATTGAATGATAAGCAGGCAATAAGTTATATAATCAATTTTAAACTGAGTTGTCACAGACATGCGTTAGATGGCCATAGCGTGTCATTGTTTACAAACAAGCGTCTACCCATGAGCCTTTGTGTTTTTAGCGTGTGCTGTTATCGTCGCTTGGGACTCAATTTATTGTAGATAAGATACATTTCACAACCAAGTGTCATCTATACATGAATGAACGGAATCAATTATTCTCGATGTTCTTCATGAATTTCAGACACACAACGATGCTGACAAATCCAGGTGCATTATGGGTAGTATTAATAAACACCTAACAATACGTCTAGTACACTACAT